TATATATATATATTTCTTCATGCAAACAATTCAATATGCGTTTCATTAATATAATTGATTTTTTCAGGTATCTTTATTCATCCCCATTGCCAAGATAACACGTTTTTCGCCAACTGCGAACTTATTGTTGCAGCCAAGTACTGTACACACAAGTACTATGCAAAGTTTTGCTGCCGATCATGCACAGAGGCTGGTCAGTTACCAGCGAGAGGACCTCATATCGATAATTCGAGAAGAAAAAGGAGATTTATTCCGCGAATGCTTGTATAAGACACCAAATTGACTTTTCGATATTACCGACACACGTGATAGCACGTAGGTAAATACTAACATAAATATCGATTCTGGATCGTAGCCGGCGGGCTTCGCAATAAAAAGAAATTGCGCGTACCTGCTCTGATCGGATGTGCCGGATAATCGATTAATTAAAAATTAAATCACTGCCAAAGCCTTAGAGCGTTTATACATCGGTATAATATGTATATGTATACGATATATGTGTGTGTGTATATGTATATATATATATATATGTATATATATATATATATATATGTATATATATATATATATTCTCATCTAAAACGTGCGAAACTGACATCATTCGTTGCGACCTGCGCGATCTTGTTCTTCGACGTTTATCCATGTATATACGGTCTGATGCTGAATCCTAGTCCGATGAAGCCATATTAGGCGGGGTAATTAACTACTTGTTCTTAAAAGATAAGTAGAAACGTCGCAATCGCGCATACCTTCCAGATGACCATCCTATGTTATCAAAGTAATGTCGACTGCAGACAGTGCAGACCAAGCGCGTAATTTTGCGGATCGTATATAGAATATGCAAGAAATACTGTTTTAAAATAGTTTTCTTTTAAATTAAATATATATTTTTTGTGTAATAATTATACTTCAGGTTAATTGTCGAATATTTATGATAACTCACAGCAGCGCAATAACGTGCAATTCTTGAGAAATTCCTTTTTTGAAATTAACAGCAAAATTTCAACAATTCCTGCACCATTTTAAAAATACAATCTGAAGAGTGTTTATTCATGTGAGACGATATACCATTCCTTTCCACGCAGCGTAGAGTTAATGCACACGCTACGATGAAACGATACACAAAAAATAAAATTTACTTGCAGTGAAGTCCTTCTTCATTGGACACATTATACTGTGTAATTAAAAAAGGAACTTGTATCTATATTTGTATTAATATGTGTATGCACTCTCACATTATGTTGTATAATATAAATAGTTTATTATGTAATATGTCATTTATAATATTTTATTATTTGGTTCTTACAATCGCATATGTATTATCATATAACGCGACTCCAAGTTATTCTCATTATCTTCCATTACCTCACACACACACACACACACACGCGCGCGCGCGCACATACATACATATACGTATGCATCATATTATTTCTTTCTAAAAAAAATTTCTTTCTAAAAATACTTAACTCACTAGCAAACATTAATAGTAAATGGGTGTTTTCCAATTGCTTAATGCATCTTTAACTTAGTCTATACAGGAATGCATAAAATTCCTATAGGCGCACAATATTAAATAATATCATGCGTCTATAGGAGTGTAGCATATTATGCACGATTCAATTAAAACAGAATGTGTACGTTATGCACGATTTCGGATAGAGTTAGATTAAATGTAGCTTTTTCCACCTGTATCGAATAAAAAAAGTAAAAGTACCGGCCACTCAACGTTCTTCAATCTCATTTATAGCGCTGCGCAGATTAGTGACATATAATTGTCACTAAAAAACACAACTTACATAGGCCCTGTTCGCATTGCATAAAATCCTCAAATAGTTCTGCACTTAAAATGAGATAGATATATATTTTGCCTTGAAAAGAGAGAAAGCGAAGATGTCGAGTGCAAAAAGTGCAAGCAACGCGAACAGACCTACAGCCCTCATGCTAAATACGAATGTGTAGTATTGTATCGGCGATTATGGCAATCGAAATGCAAAACTCATGTCGCCATGTGCACGAAAGTGTCCAGTGATTTTACAATTGAAAAGCACCCAATGTCTATTGAAGGTAATGACGAAACAGAACTTTAAAATTTGTATTTAGATATGAGAATTTTAATTTTCAAATTTTGATTATTTTCTTCAAAAATGGAATGAAAGAGATGCATATTTTTTAGATGGACATGTAGCTTTAATTTAATGTACATTTAAGAATTTACTCTCTCCAAAAGCAATTTGGCTTATATGTAATGAAATGTTTATCTACAGTAAACTTAAGATTGACTGTAAATGCCTATTTGAAATCAGGATTGATAAGAGGTAATTTTTTTTTAAGAATAAAACATTCTGTTTTTTTTTAAATATGTTTATAATGCTTCAACATGCTTTGAATAGTATTAAAAAAAACATGTTTAAAACATGTTAAAAACATCGATTAAGCATGTTTTAAACAATTTAAAATATGTTTAAAACATGATTTTTATCAATTCTGTTTGAATTTATCCTTTATTATCCATTCTCAAAGTAAAACTATATTTAAATATGATACAGCACAGATCTCCAAAGGACATTCTAATGGCCACAGAATGTTGTTATATTATCCTCTAAATACCCTAAGAATGTTCCCAGAATGCCTAAATGGATAAAATATATAATATCAATTTTAATATCGACTTCGCGCTCAATTCGTAATGTTCTTAAATTGTGCGTCGCATTGCATCTTTTGCTTGCATAATACATGTACAGTCAATCTTCTACTTTATCTATATAATAATCAGCTATTGCATTTGAATGCATATTTGTTGCATGTAACATTTGTTCCTGAAACATTTTAATCATAACTATTATATAATTACATACTATCTTTACATCCAGTCAAACAACCATAATGTAAATCATTGAAATACCGATTATAAAATTGACAATGATGAAAGTAAATGAGAAAAGAAAAGGCAAATCAAAACGCATTTATACACGCATCGTAAATGTAAGTCATAAGTCGAGATTGTTACCGATCAGAATCGACATAGGTATTGTAAATCTTTAGACCAACTTTTGAGTGTTCCATACTTGCACCAGTTCAGTCATAGTAAAACACAGTGCCTTATTAGATGACCTTTAAAACGATTGAGAAAAGAGTGCTGAATATACACGATGTCTCATTAGTGTAAATAGCTGTCACATATACCTTCGTATTTCTTTCCAAGATAATGTCTGATTGTAACGTAATAAAACAAAATATAGAGATTAAATTTATTCAAAAAACATATTCATCCAATATACATATTTGCTAACAAGAATATAATATCGATGAAGATATTAAGTACTCTTTTCCTCTATGCTCTCCTTTAGATACGATCAAAAGATATGTAATACTGTTATAGTAGCGAAAAGTGTCACTTAGTGTACTGTTTCATTTAATTCGATAAAGCGATTTTGGTAATCATATTTAAGCAATCGACGTTGATCAGCTGTTCCCGTAGATTCGGAATTAATTACAGGAGACAGAATGAACGAATGAAAAACGAAAACGCGCGAAAAGGTAATGCGTGAAAAATCATAAGTGTATCCTATATATAGACGTAGATACATTAATATCAGCTGTAGTGAGATTCTCTAACGTTTTAGCGATGATTGTCACTATCGTTAACTAGCGACAGTCAAGGCAAGGACGATCCTGAAAAAAAGCGCGGCTCTCATTGGTTGTCGTTAGTTAGCGATAGTATCGTCGATATAAGACGTCAGAGAATCCCGCTTGCGCTGTGTGTATTAATGCGACCTATTGTAAATAATTATTTACTTCATACAATTCGAGACGTTGTAACTTTCGAACATGTTCCGTATTTTACATGTAGATATATCATTTTCATATACCGTTGATTTATCATTAATTCCACATTATCCAATCACGTATAATACTACGGAAACGTGACATACGTATTTGTACAGTAACGATGTCCGTAGGACATTTAGTTACGATCATAAACTTAATTATATTATTGGAATCGCGATTCTCAACGACTTCGTGTTGAAATTTATCTCGCGCGTAACAAAATTGGCTGATTGTTCGATCATGGTGGAATTCCGCCATGGCTATCGATATTGATCCACATTAATCATTTTCCTTAACATATCATATAAAGTGTCGCACTCATTTTCTATCTCAATTTTGGCGATATTTTATTACGATCGATATCAAATTTCGATATAAAACTTTTGATCTTTTTGTACAAGAATTTATTAAGAAAAAAAAATAACCATGATTTATACCTCTTATACATTACATCCAGATAGAAGTTATATAGATTCATCATACAGTGCTACCATAAAATCTTAGCAAATGTAATTGTAATTATATATAAATATTGTATGTAATGATTAACACACACACACACACACACACACACACACACACACACACACACACACACACACACACACACACACATAATTTTAAAATAAAAGTAGATATAAGTATAGGAGAGAATATCATTATCTTATACAATTATTGTATGGACAATAATAATATATATAAGGTCTTTAAATATATGCGATTACTGTCAAAACGATTATTATTTTACGGTAACAAAAAACCAATCAACGAGATCATCATTTATATGAAACAAATTTTTCTTCTAATTATTAGCGATAATGATTTCTTGGTAAAATCAATTATTATGAGTAATTTTATATATTAGTAACATAATGAATTACTAATCCAAAAGTCTAAAATACTTATTCCGAATCAAACAGTAATTAACACATACCTGTACATATAGTATATATAAAATCACACTTTCGTTGATATATGATGTAAATTCGGCTCGCGAACAGGACGCATTAAAAAACGCTTGTGTTGTTCCTCAGCTCTGACAGTTTTTTCTATACGTTCCGTGGCTATGCGTTCAATTCTCGCAAATAGCTCGCTGTGTACGGCTATGCAATTACGGAAGTCTTTACGATCTAATCGATACAACTCACAGACTTCGATTGAGACAACACTAGCTACTCTTCGCTGATCCGCCACTAAGAGTGCGACTTCGCCGAAATGGGCACCGTCAGTCAAATGACACATCTCGAAATAACAAAGAGTAAATTTCTTTTTCGCAATATATAAACGTAAATCCAATATTGAATATTTTAAAAAACTAACTTCCTTTCCAGTTGGCGTTAAAACCGCAACAGTCCCCGAAGATAAAAAGAACATACAATCGCCTTGAGTACCAGCTTTAATGATTACGTCATTTGGCAAATATAACTCAAATTTTAAGTGCTTCACTATTGATTGCAGAATATTTCTTGGTAAATTCTTAAAAATTGCCGTGTTTTCGATTAACCGTCGACAAGACTGAAGCGCAATCTCTTCTCGTAATGGTTCTGCAAAAAATCCAAGGGGTCTTTCATTCTCGCGAATCGCAGTGCAAGTCTTAACGAGTCGGCGCGTTTAAAAAACGAGTCAGTGCGAATCAACGAGCACAAGTAACAAAAATAGTGCCAGGAATCAGTAGAAGCCAGTGAAAATAAGAAGCGAATCAAACCGAATCAGCGAGAGTCGAGCAACGATGTTTGTTTGATTTGAGAGTGAAAGACCACTCGAAAAAATCCAAATTTAAATTCAATAGTTACTGTCTTGCTAAGAATTTTATATTCTATCATATGCTCTCCATCTTATTATGTTCCTCTCTATATAATATTTTATTAACCTGTCAAATCTGATAAAATCCGTTTAGTGCGAAAGAAGGCATTTTTGAAACGATAATGATAATAAGCTAAGAGACGTTTCTTCATATGTGGTAATAATTGTTTTTGTCTTGCGTATGCTTTGATTTGAACTGTTAACTCTTGAAATTTTAATTCGGATGATTTTCTTTCAGCTTTGATATGAAGAAACATAACTGAAAGACACAGCAGCATGTTTGATAATCCAAAAAAGAAATATTTAATAATGCATAACTTCTGGTAAAGATGTATTACTCAATATCTTACCCAATATATAACATACAATAATTCTGCCGATAATCATAAGAATGCTATTGAAAATGATAGGGATATCTGTCTCTGGTACGAATATACCGTAGCCACTTGATAATATATTTTCCAATACAATAAATGCAGCGTTGTTGAATCTAAACTTGAGACTGTTGTCTTCTAATTTCATCATCCAACAATCCTCACATTCCTTTTTATACACGTTACATTTTATAAATATATTTTACAAATAAATGCATCTTTAAAAAATATAAAAACTATAGAAATGTTCGCGTAGATCAATATTGTAAACGTGGCTTACTATCGGTGGAATGTTGACGAAGTACATCAGTAAAATCGGTATTGAGTAACACAAACAAGAACACCAAAAGATGAAATATAATCCTAGCAATAAGGTACTATACAATTCAAAATAAAAGCTTTTTATTTTAAAATGCTGAAAATAATGTTTGTATGATGTATATAATGCCGTTCTATATATTTTCGTAGAAAATAATTATGATAAAGACAAATTACCGTAAATAGATAATAAAGATTTGAGTGGAAAGTATAATAGCGTGTCAATTTCATGAGAGGCATGATATTAATTAAAGTAACGATATAATGAGGATTATTTCCCGGCAATCTTCGCCATCGCAGTGTCATATGATCAAACGGAAAAGACGATAGCACATCTGGCATAAGAAATCCTTTAAGATAAAATCTATCGAAGAATATGTATTTACCATTAAATACAAATTAATAAAAACAATTGAATAAGCAAAAAAAATTTTTAATATATATTATAAATAACGATATCTCACATAAATATTTTAATAGGTTTCAACTCAATAGACATAGTTTTCTTATCATAATATCCCGTAACACAATTCAGCATTATATCTATCCAACAGATCACGTAAATTGGAATATTCACTATATCCAGACCAATTATTTCATAATCCATTATAACGAAGCAAATCATAAATGGAATTGTAAAGAAAGCGATAAAAAATATTGCCATCATTAAGGTATCCCACATAAATCTGTGAATTCTCTTAATCAGAAATAAAACAATATACGTTTTGTTGTACGAGGAAAAATAAAAGTGTGTAAGACTTTAGAGTGTGTAAGAATGTTTAGAAAATTAATTAAATAAATCCTTTTACGTTTATATATATATATAAAACGTGCCTAGCATAACTGAATGGATGTATTATCCACCAATATTTAGATCCAGTATGCCTTATTTTTTCAGCAACCATTGTGGCCGTGTTGTCCATATAAAAACTGCATTTTGGAGTATATTTGCTGATACCACACCATGTAGTCCATACAATTTTGAAAGTCAATGGTTTTAAAAAAGTAAACTTGTTTTCTCTTTTTAAGGACAATTCACATATATGCTCGATCATTATTTTGATAGCTTAATTTTTATCATCAATAAGTATTGATAAATGGCACATATATATAAGGTTACACGATTTGATAATATATTAATATTTGAATAACATTACAATGGTTGGAAAATTTCTTTTGTTTTTCGAAAATGATCGCTTGCATCTTACTTATAATCATTAATCACAGACTTCTATGACTATACTCTATTCAACGGGAGAATGACCTCGATTTCCGCATAGCAGGCAATATAACGTTGTATGTATGTACATACATACAACGCTATGAAGAGTTGCACAAAACGAATGAGTTTTCGTCCGATCCAAGGTCATTCTCTCGTTAAACGGAGTATAGGGGTGCGTTCCCGCGAGTTATTACGCACGAAGCGCATGATGCATTATTTCTTTGTTGTTCATCGAATAATAAAGAAGAATAAAATGATATATCATTATAGTCGGATCTTATATACATATATATATATATATATATATATATATTTATTATATATATATATTCTTCTTATTTAAAAAAAATAAAATTTCATCACAATGATGTCTTCATCCATTGGAAAAGTATCAAATCAGGCTGCGCACAGTTCCCCCACTCTCCCCTAGTTATTAATACGCAATGGATATTATAAGGGATGACATTTTTTAAGAAATAAATTATTTTTTATTACCATTTAGTATTCATCGTTTTATTTTATTTCAAATAACATGATATTAAAAAATACCTGATGAACTATTTTAAAAAGTATTGACACAACTAAACAATAAAGGTTCAAAGACTTTTATTGAAACAAATAGCAATTATGTCATTTAGTCTAAGCTATCAGTCTTTCCGGGTATTTTCTTGCATTTTTTACTTTATTTTGTAAACATCTTTAAAAAATATGAGGGAGTCACGATACATCTATGTATATATTTCTGATTTGGATACGCATCATGAAATTATTCGAAATGGATTCCGATCGGAAGTATTCGATTATTCCCTAAATTTCTATTTATTTTCTAGGGAAAACGAAATAATTCCGATCAGAATCCATTCCGACTTACATATTCCATGATAAGTGCCCGGATTGCGTAAATGATCACGAATTTCTCGAGGCAAAATTTCTTTACAAATATAAATGGGATATACAATACGTTGTTGAGGCTCAATATCTACATAGAATATTGTTCTATCGTGTTTATACTCGTATATATGTGTATATAATTTTTTCAACATAATACAATATTAGATATGTTCGCATTGCTTTTAAAATCCCCAAAAAATTTTTAACTTAAAATGAGATAGATACATTGAAAAGAGAGAAAGCGAAGACGCTGAGTGCAAAACGTGCAAGCAACGCGAACAGACCTTTTGCTAGACTAGAGATTCTCAATTACAGAATGACGCACGAAACATCATACCACTTAATCATTTCATTGAAACTGAATTTGTGAGGTATCGTTTTTTTTTTAATAATGTGAACAAATTCTGTACTTCGTGGAAATTCTGCTAGGTGTGGTATCAGAATTGAATAGCGAGGTGACGCCAACTTATGAAGTAATGGACAACGGCGGATGGTTGACTTGAAATGTTAACCGCCAAGTGAAAGTTATATTGTTATTTATGAAAACAAAGATTGACAGAAACTCAAAGGCATAAACATTTTCATCATGATATAGTTGCGTCATTCTGAAGATTTATTGAAAAATAGCGAGTCAAACTCTTCAAGAAATTATGAGCCAAATATAAGGTGGGTTCATGTTGAATGTTACCTATTAGACAATTTTTCAGGATTTAAATTAATTTTATAATATGTCAATTCTGTACCAATTTTATTAAAAATAAATGTGTTATGTATGAAATAAATAGTATGGTACTTTTTATGTGCCATATATCCTGTATTTCAAAAATTGATGTGTCTGTCTTTACTTCCACCCAATTTTCACTCCTAATATTTATCTACATCTTACGGAATTTCCACAAAGTTTGCTCATATAATCAGAAAAACTAATATCCCAAAAGTATTAATGATATAATTAAATAGTGACATTTCGTTACTTTATATATGTATTTAATAACAAAAAGCAATGTATTTCATTTAGAATGAGTTCAAATTTATATTTCGTGCAAAAATATTTTTTAACTGACAAAAAAAAATATACAAGTCAATATAAAACTTAAAAAATAAAAATTTTGTTAAATAAATAATATAATAGACATATAGTAATTGCAACCAAATCTGTTTACACAAAATGAGAAAAATGATAGTATTCAATTGCACGTTATATTAATCCTGTTAAATATGAAAACCTCTAGATTATCAAAATATTCTATGCTTCTTCATTTTGCATACATATTACATTAATACAACATTAACAATATTACGATATACAAATGCGCCATCATCTTTTGAATAATTCACGAGCCGATAATTCGATCGTACATATATCCCTTCTGAGATTTATTGAATGTTCCACTTTTTTAAGATATATTATGCAATATTGCAAAGATCACCACTTGAATATTCGAATAATTTGTCATATTTTCACTTGACAAATTAAGCGTAACACGAGGATTACATACACGTCATCCATGCGTCAAAAATCGACACAGTTGAGCAACATTAATTATCAAAATGCATCAACTTGTTTTGGGGTACGGGTTGATATAACGTCAAAAAAAATGCAGTAGGAACACATTATTTAAGTGTTCTTCTTCAAGTTTTAACCAGGTCTCGGACAACGATCAACAATCAGAGTTCTAATTAGACGTATCAAACATCAAATATTTTTTTAAATGGCAGTTTTTAAAATTTTACTTTCCACACAGAATGTGAAAATCTTTACGAAAACTTATAAATTGTCCTTCGTAGATGTATCACAGTGTGCGGTATTTTCTCGCGAGGAGCTTTTTGTGCGGGGAATCAGCAATTTTAAACATCAATGCCGAGCAATTCTCGGCTATCGGCCTTTGAAAATCGGCGACGTAAACTGCGACGACGAAACTCCCTCCATCAGACGGACGCACGTTTTACTCGAAGACTGGCAGAAGTTGGGGGTGGTCGGTATCCTTGATATCCGGAAGGATCCAATAGCTCGGAATTCGCTGGGCCTAGACAAGTGCAAGAGCATACGCTCACACAATCGTCCGTGTCGTGCACAACAGGCACGTGACTAGCCAGAAGCTTTCCATTTACCGCCACAACCTCGCCGTCTAACGTCAATACGTGATGGGAAGCCGATTGCAGCTCAGTGTCGTCACGACGCGCCTCACCGGAATCCCTAAAGTGATGTTTCGCAGGATATTAATAATTTTTTCACATATCTGTAAAATAATTCGCCTTTTATTACAGAAAATGGTAGATATTTACGTCGTCATGAAGCGCAATACGAGCAAATTAATACTGGCAGCAACTACGGCCAAACCAAATAGGATAAAGATCAAACTCAAAATCACATATCCAGGTTTATTGGAAAGCGCTTGATCATTCTGCAAAGTAATTTGTCTATAAATCTCACTGCTTCTCTCTGATGATCAACCAAACATTATTTACCTGAAGAGCGACATAGTCACCAAAACCTATAGTTGTAAGCGTCACAAAACAGTAATAAAAACTATCAAAGTAGCTCCAACCCTCATATCTCGAAAACACTGCAGCACCTGTCGTAATAATGATACTTGAAAGTAAACCAGTCGCTAACATGAGATTCATCTCTGTAGCTTCGGTTTTTTGACATCTGAGATACGTCTTTGCTCGTCTAATCACAACCGATGCAAACTTGTTCAATCGTTCACCAATGCTTTGAAACATTACCAATCCCAAAGGAATTCCTACCATTGCGTATATCATACAAAATGCCTTTCCGGTTTTAGTCACAGGAGTGGAATGCCCGTAACCTTACAAAACAAAAATTTTATATATATTAAACTTTTATTAAAATACTATTCTCTCTCTCTCTCTCTCTCTCTCTCTCTCTCTCTCTCTCTCTCTCTCTCTCTCATTTTATGAGCATTTTATGTTAATATCAATTATAAATATATTGTGTTGTGTCTGATACAAAACATAATTTTTCATTGAATTTTGATTATCGTCTAATCTTTAATATGTATACACATTAAAAATTTAAATAGTTTTCGAAGATAGCCCCGGCGAAAATTCTTTTTTGCGTTCTTTATATATATAATTTTTCAGAATTTTTATGTTTACATATAAGTTATAATTTTTTAGAATGTTTATAAGTATAATTTCACAACTTTGTAAAAAATCTCTTAGTTTTTACGAAT